GGCAACAGCTGTATAGTACAGCAATCCGTTGCGTGTACTATACCGATCCGATGAGGATCGGTACAAAGCCGGTAAATCCCTCATGGATTTACTGGATGGATTCACCAGATGATCCATCAATCGCAGAAGATCCTTATCTTCCGCGTATGCCTTTCGTACGTCGTCAAGTAAACTTGACGACGGGACACTGACTGACAGTGTCGCAACAGTGGGCTTGTCCTCACTGTTGGATTGCGCGTCCGGCTCGAAATCGGGCCGGCGCGAAAGAGCATCCGCGACGACATTGAGTCGTCCCGGTTTATACTCCACGGAGAAGTTATACTCCGCGAAGAAAGACAGCCACCTCGCCATTCTTTGCGAGATGTGTGGGCTGTTTACGGCCGTGCGTAATGACGCATGGTCCGTGTAGACAACAAACGGTCTATCTCCCAAGAGATAGACGCGAAATTTAGCCAGTGCGTATTTCATGGCAAGGAGTTCCTTGTCATGCACTGGGTAATTACGCTCAGCTGCTTGCAGCTGACGCGATTGATAACAGATGACGCGCTCCGCGCCATCTGCATCGAACTGCATTAACGCACAGCCGATTGCGAAATCGCTGGCGTCACAGACCACATGAAATGGTCTGTCCTGATCTGCAATCGCCAAGATCGGCGATTGCATCAAGCTTTGCTTGATACCTTCAAAGGAACGCTGGCACTCAGCGTTCCATGACCACTTGACATTTTTCTTGAGCAAGCAAGAAAGATGTACCGTCATCTCGGCGTAGTTGCGCGAGTACTTGTGCAAGTACGCCGCAAGACCAAGGAACTTTCGAAGTCCCTTGACATCGACTGGCACTGGCCAGTCGGTGATCGCCTTGATCTTTTCGGGATCAGGGCGTACGCCGTGTTTCCCCACGATGCACCCAAGAAGTGGTATTTCGCTAGCCGCGAATATACACTTCTTGAGGTTGGCGTACAACTTATGCTTGCGCATAAGTTGGAGAACCTGACGAACGTGAGTTCTGTGAACTTCAACGTCCGTCTTCCCGTCCATAGCCCGGCTATGGACGAACACATCGTCGAAGTAACTCGGTGCGAAGTCTCGCACCGGTCTCAACAGATTTGTTACACATCTGTTGAATGTTGCAGGGGCATTACTCAGCCCCTGTGGCATCACTAGCCACTCCCACAGCATCCCGCTGGGGGTACTCACTGCTGTGAACGGGACGTCCCGTTCACGCATCAGGATCTGATAGAATCCATCCATCAGATCCATGGACGAAAAGATGGTACTCTTTGACATACCATCTATGATTACGTCCTTCCTCGGTATCGGCGTCTGAGCCGGTACCGTTGCAGCATTCAACTTGTTGAATGCGTGCACTATCCGCCACCCTCCTGTGGCCTTTCGCACACAGAAGGTTGGAGAGCTGTGAGGGGATGTTGATTCCCTCACATGGCCCGCTGCTAAGCGATCGGCAAAGAACTTGTCGATCGCTAGTACTTGTTCACGAGGCAGTGGCCACTGCTTCATGACACAGTACTTCGAGCCCGGTTTGAGCTCGATCTCGTGTCGAGTGCCTTTGTCTTTAGGCAACTCGCAAGGTACGGATTCAGGGAACACATCCCTGAATTCGATCAAATCCTTATACAAAGGATTTGCCTGAAGTGACTCCCAGGATTGAGACGTGTATCGCTCAATCCGAGTCTTCTCATCGAGGACACTTTCGTCCATCGATGAGCTGCTGAGAACCCGTTCGTTATCAGCAAATACTGTAGCCGACCGAATATCGGCCACATACTCATCCTCCGTGAAGAGTATGCAGATCTGCTTGACTTTGCCACTACGCAGATCACGCAAGAACCGTTTCGGTTCTAGCGTTGGCAACTGAGTTATCTCCGAAGTTAACTTCGGAGGCACAATCAGATCAAGCGCATAGGCGCCTACGCTTGATCCGTCATTAACCAAGACGTTCAACGTCTCGGTTTCTTCCTGGGAACTTTCTTCCACAGGTTGATGAGGACCTGATCCCTCAGCAAGTGACTCTTGAGGAATTCCATCCTCAAGTACGTGGGGACTTATTCCCTCGACGTCTTACGACTGTGGCTGTGCAACCACAGTCAGGCACCGATCCTCTACGGTCGACTCTCCAGTCGACCTAGGATTTTCATGTTGCCCCTTGGGGGCAACGGATTTCTTTCTTCTAAGATGCTGCCCGCTAGGCATGCATCCATGTCCCGGTCCACTCGACTTATTCGAGTGGTGGACCTTCGGCGCAGCCTGTACTTCTGTACAGCCGCCGGGAGCTTGCTCCACAGTGTAGTGATCAACTACACTGTGACCTTGTGCAGTCGTGCTAACGACCGTACCGCAAGTGAGGCCATCGCACTCACTCGCAGAACATCCACACGCTTGTGGACGCTCCAAGATGTTCATCAGATGGCCATCTGATGAACAAGCAGCAGGCATCTTCACGGATCGATGCTGCCAGCTCACCCTTGGCTCGTATTTTCTGAGCCAAGGTAATCCCAGGATGACATCAAATTTGTCATCCAGATCTAGTACGATGAAATCATCATCGTACTGCTCGCCCTCTAACGTGTAGTGGATTCCTACTACACGTTTCTCAACGGTTATCGATGCGCCTGTTGCAAGGCGCACCGTCATCCTTGTGAGGGGAATGTCGCGCTCAACGAACTTGAGCCTACGACCCTCTAGTGACTGGCGACGAACAAAGTTGTTCGACGCCCCACAGTCTACTAGGGCACGAAGCGACAAGTCATTTGTCGCTTCCAACTTCAAGGTGATGAGCGAAACGTCATCACCAGGTGCAGAGACACACAATGATTGTGTATCTGGAGCAACTTTCGTCAAGAGGTTTGCAAATTCTCTTGAGGTTGCTGGATCAGTAGGGCGCTCCGCCCCTACTGACCCCGACCATTTTTTGATGGCCCGTCTCGCTGTTGCGGCTTCGCAACAGCGCTGGACCCACGCCCATTTCCCTTTCTGGCGAATGGTCGTCCATTTCGCTCTGTACTGTTTGGTACTGGGCGCGGAGCACTACACTCGTATGCGTAGTGCCCTAACTTCTGACAGCGATTGCACCTCTGCAATCGCTTGTTGCTTGTAGAGCGAGGTCTCTCGCTCTCAACATAACAGAGGTCCATTGGTTCTGGACCTCCGATCTCTTGTCGTCTCGGTGGACGGTAAGAGTTTGAGCTAGCATGAGCCTGTCTCATGCTAAAGTCTTCCTGTTCCGCGGCTGATATCGCTTCTTCAAGCGTATTCAGCTCAAGGCGGAACAGGTGGCTCCTGACGGGCCCTTCTGCGAGCCCTTGCATGAACACCGTAATCAACGTGTGTTCATGAACTGGGTTTGCAGTTATACTACTCGCAAGGAGTCGTATATGTTGTGCGTAAGCGTGCACATCACGCTTACCCTGCTTGAGTTTCAGGAGCTCTGAACGAGCCCTGAACTCAGCACGTGGCGGCTCAAACGTTTGTCTGAGCCGGGACTTGAAGTCATCTAGCGACCTAAACACATTTGGGTCGCTACTCTCGAGTCCCAGGGACCAAGTTTTGGCACGCCCTGCCAAGTGGGTCTGAGCAAATGTGAGTTTCATTTGCTCATCTTCGACGCGACGAGCCCTTAGGGCTCTGTCGAGTTCGACAAACCATAGTAACAGGGAGTCCTCCGGGACTCCACTGTACTTGGAGATGTCGACTTTCATCACTTCGGGACGACGCGCATGCGCCGTCCCGCCCACAGCAGCATGGAATTGCTGCTGTCTCAACAGCTCCGTCTGTTGAGCACCGAGTTCTCTCAACTGCTCGGCCTGTTGAGAGCCTTGCTGGTGAAGCAAGGCTACTTTCTCCCTCTCGAGAGCAAGTTCATTGTGAATGAACTTGGCGATAGCAGCATGTTGTTGGTCTCTGTCTAGAGACTCCAACATGGTGCTGACGACGAGTTCGCCTACGGTAGAACTCATTCGTTCTACCGCACCCCATTCGATGTCACTCAAATGGGTAAACCCTTCACGCGTGGCGTGAAAGGTGTCTTCTTCATCCAACATGTTCATGTTGGATGATGTGGTCCTTGGAAGGACTACAAAGTGCTACCAGGTGTAACGGGGCACACCCTTGCGTAACTTAACGCAAGGGTTTTGAGTGCCCCGACAGACGTACACGTGGCAAGCGAGGAAGCGTAGGTAGGGTAAAAGTAGAACTGTTATATTAATGAATTAAGTCTTTAAACTACTGTCTCTTCGTTTGACTTAATTCAATTATACTAATATAACTGCATGTATGGTGACGTCTCGTCACCACTCATTGCGCGCGTCTTGCGGCGATTGGTGGGTTGATATCATCACGATATCAACCAATGAACAGACCCTTTGGTCGACCCTTCAATATCACCACTTTGGTGATATTGTTTAAAGAATATCCATCTTATATTCTTTATTGTCACTTTCCTTAAGTGACAATATCATGTAACGGGCTGCCCCGTTACACACGGGCCTTTTTCAAACGCACAAGTTCGGCGAGCAACCCTGTCGGCACGTTACCGAAGCACGACCCGTCGAATAGAATCTCTCTACTTGTTTCGACACTGTGTTTAATTACTTCTAAGAGTGCATTTTTCTTCGCACAAGACATCTGCTCCCCAACTTGCATAACTTATTCACGCATATTAAGTGTCAGCGAAGAGTGAGATGATGCATTTAGAAATCCAGCACATTCGCTGTTTAAACGACGATAGAAAAAAGCGATATCGCATAAAAGCTCTTCTCCATGATGTACTTCTAAACGCCGAGGATGCGGCCACGAAAACATGACGCGCCTAGCGTCACGATGTCAGCGAAAACGAGTCCACGGGCTTTTATTCCCTATGCTGTTGCAGTGTACACCGCTTCGCGCTCGAAGTCGCAAGTGCATTGATCAACAAACGTCTAAATGTCTATCACAGCCGCGCAGACACGTCCAAGCGCCAGTCAACCAGTCAGTCCGTCAGTCGCTCAGTCAGATGGCTCTTTCTCGTGCTGCACCTCGACATGATACTCCTTGAGCTGTTCAGGGAGCACTGGTCCTGGTGCATTGGTCATCAGCTCGTTGCCTGAGGAGGTCTTTGGGAACGCGATCACGTCACGCAAACTCGGCGCTCCGCACAAAATTGCAATGAGGCGGTCGAGGCCCAGCGCAATGCCGCCGTGAGGTGGAGCTCCGTGGCTGAGAGCCTGTAGGAGGTGCTCAAAGCTCTGACGTTGCACCTGTGGCAGCTCGAGCACATCTTCAAACACAGCTTGTTGCAGCTGTGCCTGGTGGATACGAATCGATCCTCCTCCCAGCTCCCAGCCGTTGCATACGATATCGTAGTGCTGCGCCGTGAGACTCAGTAGCTTCTCGACGACCAATGGGTCTTCCAGCAAACTTCTCTTCGCTTCGCCTTTAGCAGCATGTGTCAAGATCTCGTCCAAAAGTGCTGCGTGGTCAGTGTGAGGCGCGGTGAAAGGATGATGTGTTGCAGACAGCGGCACGCTGCCTTCGCTGTCAGGAGCGACCCCATCTTCGTTATCTTCACTGCGCTCGAACATGGGGAAATCAATCACCCAGAGGTGATGGAAGTTGGTCGGGTCCAGCTCTGCTTGCAAGAAACCCATGGCGTACAACATCCGCGAGACGTGGGTGCGCAAGCGTCCGAGCAACGTATTGACATCGTGGTATGGCCCGGCAGAGAAAATGAGAACATCGCCTTCAGCAGCGTCGAGACGCTCGTTCAGCTGATCGATTTCGAAAGTCGACAAGTGTTTAGCGAGCGACGATTGCCACTGCTTTCCAGGCTTCACCTTGACGACAAACGCAGCGGCAGTGCTAGATGCGCGCTTAGCTGCTTTCTCCAGTTCACCAATGTCCTTGCGCGAGACTCCAGCACCACATGAGAGGCACTTCGCATTGATGGCACGAACGACTCCGCGTTTGCTATGGACCTTGACAGGGCGATCTGCTAGTGCCGTCTTGAATGGGCCAAACTCGCATCCTTGCAACAGGTCGTCGACATCCTGCAGCTCAATACCATACCGTGTATCGGGTTTGTCTACACCAAAGCGGTGCATAGCCTCGTCGAAAGTCATGCGAACAAATGGACGATCCGGTAGCTCCTTGTCCGCAGCTTTCCACATTTGCTTCACCAGGCGCTCGACCAAGTGCATTACGTCTTCGCGCGTGACAAACGACATTTCCAAATCGATCTGGGTGAACTCTGGCTGACGGTCTGCTCGACCGCCTTCGTCACGGTAGCACCTCGCCAGCTGGAAGTACCGATCCAACCCGCCCACCATAAGCAACTGCTTGTACTGCTGCGGACTCTGCGTCAACGCGTAAAACAGCCCTCGATTACGTGTTGGCACGAGAAACTCTCGTGCACCTTCTGGAGTGCTTTTGAACAGCGTCGGCGTCTCGATTTCCAGAAACCCCTCCGCGCACAAGAAGTTACGCGCAGCGAGTGATATCTGTGAGCGGATAATGAGGTTCTGCTGCAACGCTGGACGACGGAGGTCCAAGTACCGATGCCGCAGTCGCGTGTCTTCGTTCGCGACAAGTGATCCCGTAGCCACTTGCATTGGTAAGTTCACACACGTGTTCAGTTCGGTTATCGCGTGGACAACGACCTCAATAGCTCCCGTCGCCATGTTCTCGTTGCGCATATGAAGTGGTCGAGCCCGAACAGTGCCTGAAACTTGCACGACGGACTCGGGTCGAATCCTACGCACCACATTTTCTGTCACGTATCGACACATGTCACAGGTACAAAGTGCCGTCAGAAAGTCACGCGTGCGCTACTGTTCGTGGCCCTGTGGCATATGGATCGACGGATTCCGAACCTGCTGATTGGAGAAACTCCTTTTCCAGGACAAGTTGCGTCACGCCGTACCGGTCCCGAAGTGACACAAACGAGACATGACCAAATGGACGCAGTGCGTCCACCCATCCACTCAGCGTCACGTGTTGCCCTTCGTGAGGCGATTGGCGGAGTTCTCCACACGAATGCGTGCGGAGCGAACTCAGAGAGCGCGTGACGACCCACGAGCGCGTTGACAGAGCGCGACGGGAGCTGTAGTTAGGACGTGTGCAAATCGGCAAACACAGCGACAGCACAACGTTTGAGCTCCGAAGTGCAGTAGGATCACAATACCATATGGACGGACCTTTGCGCAAACATGAGAATGACTCGTGTCCGCCTTTGCGTGACGTTGTTTAGCAGCTGAGGGATTCGTGTGGCGCACATCAACACAAACCCTCGTCACTGGTTTTGTACCCATGTGTGGTCCAGCGAGACCAGCCGTTTCGACGTCTGCCAAAGCGATGGTGCAGTCCCGAGTGTTTACGGCAGCAGCGCACGACGTCGTCGTGACCGTGCGCGACAAGACGGTATTCGCACTGCCAGTCAGCACTGCAACTGCTTCGGGAAGAGCGCTGCAGTTTACGGTACTGCAGAGCGAAAGTGGTGCCGACGAAGCGTCAGAGGCCGCTCGGACCAATGAACACGACAATGACGAAAACAAGGACAAGAAGACGGCGCCGTCGCTAAACATACGAAGTGAGGGTCGGATTACGGCCATGGAGCTCTTCCGACCGCTAGGATCGGATCGATTTGCTCTGCTACTGCTAGTGAATGAACGGCGGCTGCTGCATTACGAGCTAAACTTGCCAAGCGAGACGCTTGTGCTCAAGGCGTCACGCTTGGTGCCTCGCAGCGCTACGTGCATGACTGTCGGCCATCTAAAGCTGGACAATCAAGAGACCAAGTACATTGTGGTTTTGGGCCAAAAGACGGGTGAGGCTGTGGGTGTGCCTTTCCCGGACTTGGACCGAGACCTCCGGACGCTGTTGGGCCACACAACGTCGATGATCACCGACGTGGCGACGAATCACGACTCGTCACTGCTACTGACGGCCGATCGGGATGAAAAGATGCGCGTGTCGAGGTTTCCCAATGCTGCTATTATTGAGAGCTACTGCTTGGGCCACAAGGCTAGTCTCACCAAGGTGGCGTGTAGTATCGTCACGCCAGAGCTCGTCGTGTCGGCGTCAATGGACAATACGCTGAAGCTCTGGAACATGAAGACGGGCACACTGTTAGCATCGGAGACGCTGCTATTAGGTGTGGAAGTGTCCCATGAACCGCTCGATGAGGGTGCCGACGCGGATGACGATGGTCGCAAGGCAGCCAATAGTCTGCTGAAAGTGTCGCTGGCAATCAGCCCCAAGACGAACATTGTGGCGGTTCTCGTGAATTGTCAGCACGCGCGATTCTTCGAGATTGTGTCGCAGACTCTCCAAGAGGTGGTGATACCTATCGAGGACCTACAGCTGCTGCTGATGAACGAACCTTGTGAGCTGTTGTATCTTGAGAACGATATGCTTGTAGTGTCGTACAAGAAAGACCCGTTTGTGCAGCTGTTCTCCATTTCATTACAGGAGAAGAAACTTGAGCCTGTTGAGCCTGCAACTGATGTGTTCAAGGACTTGCGAAACGCCGCTGCTGCCATTAGTACGTATTCTCGATATTTATGAGTGATGTCGGTCTGAATGTGCTACTTACTCGTGCACTTGATCACAGACCTAAACGATGACGATGAGGAAAACACTTTCGACGTGCTTGAAAATGGAATGATCAAGAAGAAAGCGCGGACAAGCGAGTGGAACACGAGGGCATCTGCGCAGAAGTAACCACGTATCCGCTTGGTATGTGGAGTCGGGTGTAAGTTGTCTGTTGTAGATGTCTGAGTTCAACAGGCTTCCTCATGATGCAGATTATCGCTCTTAGCAACGTGCTTATCGATTTATGCACACACACACGATATAGCAGAGTGATGGATACGTCGGCGTGTTGCAGGTCTTAAGTTGGTACATCATGTATCGTGCCGTATGGCATTATTATGTAGATGTATTGCGCTTTTTGTGGATGCATTGCCGTATCATCGATGGTGGAATACATGGAATGGCTTTGATTGACGAGGACAAGCGTCTTAAACGGCGCTGACGATATTGACCAAGCAAAACTGAGTAGTGAGGCGCTTCCGTGGTATCCTGTGCTGCAAAATACGACAGAAGAAGCAGCTTTCGCAGCTGTACCCTCATATTTCGTTGTGTGTGTGCATCGATAGCTGACGTGTTGTAAATTGCAGAGGATAGTCATTGAACGCGTGTTCGATGTTGCAGGGTAACATGAATAAGCGCTACAGAACAATGACAAGGTTTTGTATGGTTAAGTGGATGATGCCCGATCACTGCTGAACGTAGCCGATAAGTTACGTACGTTGACGCGGCTGTAGTGACTTCGCCATGGAAGTTACTAGCTCGATGCAATACCGAACCATTCATCATGGCGTAGCTGGAGGATCGATAGTTGGCAAATGAGTGGGTTTGACCCTCATAGAGGGTATCGAGCGGTTCAAGAGAGCATTCAAAAAGATGCCGCAAAGATGCTGACGGGTGCGAGCTTGGTAGCTCCGCGAGTGGCAGAAGACGCAAGAATCGGCTTTACAAATCGGTACACACAACAACAGTTTGAGCCCGTATTCCTGATTGTTGTCTGTATGCGAAATGTACGCATGCCCGTCGCGACCGACGGTCTGGATCTCGAATGCCTTTTTTCTAGTATGCTGTGGCAAGAGAAAACCCACATCGACAAAAGGTTGACCGAGAATTAGCTGCTATTATTTCTGCCGTGCGCGTGCCTGCATCTGCTCGTTGGTCCAGAACCACGAGGATCAGCACGACAATAAGCTTTCCTCAACAAGATACGTATGCCAAGTATCCGATTACTTTCGAAGTGTCCTACGGCACTAGCACATCACTAGACTCCGAACCCTGATTTTAGACGCGTAGTGACTTAGAAAGCACACGCTATGTACATGCAGGCTCAGATCAGTTCTGCGCAGGTAGGACTCTACAGCTACGTTTCCTGACGTGGAATCAGAATCTGGTGAGCTGAGTCAGATATTTACGCCAGAAAGCCAGGGAGTAAGAAGACGATACTGACGATATGCTGGTAGATTACTACCTCCAACTGCTTGTACTACACTCACGGCTGCTGCCTTCGTACAAAAGTGTAAGTATCACCGGATCGCAGAGCTTTCCAGATCGATTGCGTCTTGACCTCTTATCTGTAAGACAAGTCCCACTGTGGTGGCAATGAACACTCCGCTACACCCTGAGTCTGATCGGCACGTACCGGTTATGAAGGGACACTGACATGTGTAACCAGGTTTATATGCAGTGTGGTTGGTTGCGTTACGAGAAGATCAGTACTAGTGAGCAGTCAGGCGCTTCAATCAGGCAGTCAGCGTGCAAAAGCTTCATTGCAGCTGTAGCCCAATTCGTTGGTCACCTGTAGCTTTCGTGCCACAACACATTTCTCATTTTTAAATTCAAGCCGCAAGCGTCTCCAAGTACCTTGAGCTGCTGTCTCACTGACTGGAACTACCATACGCCCAAATGGTCAAGATCTTCTCTCTACTCGCTCTCGCGCACGTCGTGTCTGCTGACAGTGGCAGTCTTTTCGCCTCAGCTGCAGGCGTGCCGACTAAGATGACAAGGCCGGACCTACACTCAACCAATCCATCTAAATTTGGAGGATCTCCGGGGAATGTCCTTCCTGATAAAGACGCCCACGAAGAAAAGATGGATCCGAGCTGGTCCGAGAGAGCAACAGAATTGGCGAAACCACTACTCCGTTCCGAGTCAATCAATGGACGCACTGGGGCTAAATCTGAGTCGTTTCCATCTTTGCTGGAGAGCTGGCTCCCTCGGACAGCGACAAGCTCGGCCCAACTTCATGACACGCAGCCAGCGAATGCTTACGATCCGGAAGTTGAAACTGTCGTAGAGATGTTTTCTGCCGGCAAACCGATTGAGAGCATTATCGAGAAGGACGTCGATCCCGATCTTCTCCTCGAGAAGCTTCGTCGGACAGCTCTGGTCGAGGACCCTATCGCCTGGGCTACTGCATATAGAAAATGGGAACTTTACAAAGTTCACACGGCAAAAAAAGAGTGAATGCTGCAAAAGCAAAGGGCACTTAGGAGGTGACACGCTACGGATCCGATTACTTATTGTACGCCCGAATGGTAGTTGCTTACTTATATGTAGTGCGTCTTGGAGTTCCTATGCTTATGTAGCATCGATAACCTGAATAACATCGACTCACCGTCCACGCTTTTGTGGCATCTTAATTTCATACTGATCCAATTAGGCAAGGTGATGGCTATATCGTCGTTGATTTCGCACCGTTTGTATTGACGGAGAATGGCCACAAGATCCGGCACTTTCATTGTTGGTCAGAAGATAACCGCTGACAAAAACGAATATGAGTGGCAGAACGAAAACGAGCACTAGTATTTGTCTTGATTCGATTCACGTCCAGCTTCAGGTCAACAACTAACGCTTCGCAAAACTGAACAAAAAACAAAAATACCCACACAAGCTTCGACTAACTAATGTCGTTGTAAATGACTGAAGACGGTTCGTGTACAAATAGGAGCGTTGTCATAAACAGAACAAAGCTAGTGGCCAAAGTGTCTTAACGTTTTAGGCGCACATCGATCTACATTGACCAAATCCTTCACTGCCGTCTCTTATATTCAATTTGGACACTATTAACACCATGATATTCTTTAGGAGACAGAAATATTGGTGTACAAAGCTGACTCGACGAAATACTGAAAAGGGCTTTTTCGACATTATAATTGCAATTCCGAATAGCAAAGCAGTCAGGAAGTGCGCGAAGGTGATAGCCATACATTCTCGGCACCTTCTTCTTGTTTCTGTGTCCCTACCAATATGCGGGGAGGTAAGTCTCGCGGGTGTATCGTACAGGTCCTATTCGGTTCGATCAAGCGGATTGATTACATCATCAAAATGCACGTCGTCCTTTACCCTTTCGTCACGTAACTTTTTCCCGACTACCAAAGATTCAATGAAAGACGCGCACGCACACTCGTGGTTTAATTCGAAGCGAGTAGAGCGTCGAAAAAAAGAAGCAAACGCTTGATGAGTTTAAGCAGCGAAGGTCTCGCACCTCACACACCACAACATCTTTTGTAGCAGCTGAATAATCAGCGATTCCACATTTTGTCATGTCAGATCCCGGAGCAGGATTTTGCCTCTTAGCACGCGAATATTTGTTAAGTACCAAGGTGTACACGTCGTAGTCTGACCACGCGCCGTGCACAGAACTTTCGGGACATACGTGCATGTTTTTCGATTGCAGCTGCTAGAAATGGCCACCAAGAACACGCAACAAGAAAGCTGACTTATGCTAGTTATATATGTTTGCAACTTTACGTGACGCCCGTGATGTTAAATTTATTATATCTGCATTTTGCTTACGTTTGTTCGAAAACCTTGAGCATAGTACTTGAGAAGACGCTAGACTGTATGCTCGTAGGCCGAGCAACGCTAAAGAAACGCTTCGTTGGTCTTTCTACACTGCCAGTAGTCCGACGCAATCGACAATGGGCGGTCGATCCGTGCCCATATGATGGAATTTACACACAACGTATAAACTGTCGCGTGCAGCAAAAGTTAGGAACAACCGTGTGAACTGACATAATTCGCTGAGGTTACTAGTGCAATAACAACATCTCACCCTTTCTTGCTAGACGCTATGTGTAGTGTAACGGGGCACACCCTTGCGTGAACTTAACGCAAGGGTATCGGTGCCCCGACAGACGTACACAAGGCAAGCGAGGAAGCGTAGGTAGGGTAAAAGTAAAACTGTTATATTGATATAATTAAGTCTTTTAACTACTGTCTCTCTGTTTGACTTAACTTAATTGTGCTAATATAACTGAGTGTATGGTGACGTCTCGTCACCACTCATTGCGCGCGTCTTGCGGCGATTGGTGGGTTGATATCATCAAGATATCAACCAATGAGCAGACTCTTTGGTCGACCCTTTAATATCACCACTTTGGTGATATTGTTCAAAGAATAACCATCTTCATATTCTTTGTTGTCACTTTCCTTAAAGCGACAATTCCATGTAACGGGATGCCCCGTTACATGTAGCGTCTGTTACTCAGTTCTTTGAAGGTACAAAAATGGTTCAAATTCTGTCCAAATTTATAAAAGGCACTGCGAGAAGAGACAAATAAATTGTCACATACATATAGATAGCGAGACGATCATGCTTACGGTAAATGAAAAAAGTTACAACACATATGGTGGGATACATGCACCACTCATCTAAGAACATACGCGGAATAGCTTTTTTTCATACATATTCACGTATACCTTTGATATTCTATTCTTTCAGTATGTGTAGACATATTCATCTACATCCGTCGACAGCTATTGGACACGCAGGAAACGGTGCGTTGACGCTTTATGCGTATCCCGTTAGTGCTGATTTTTGTTTTATTGTAAGATCTCGTTGCTCTATTTCATTTATTTAGATCTTATCGTGTGATATTGTTACAATGAATAGCTGTCGCCTTCACGTTATCATTATATATACGAAGGATTAGACGGCGCAATGTCAAAGTGCCACCTAAATTATGTAAAATTACATTCGGACCGACAAAATGCAGCATAAGTCGCTGGAAAATGATAAATAGCAATCGCAGACATACACGGTAGAGCCCAAAACGCTCATTAGTGTTATCGCAAGAGATCACACTAGTTCTTGCGTGTTGAAGGTACCGTTGATACTCAGTCGTAACGAA